ATGTCCCTGCCAGCGAGCATGAGTGCCCTGCTAGCGTCGCCAAGAAAACTCATCATGTCACTATTATTACTGTACTCTCCACAATTGTCAACATGTGCCACAATGTGTTATAGGATGCAGTTCCTGCCAGCAAAGCAAAACCCAACAGTCCTCCGGCTTGTCAGCGAAGCGGAAGTAGAACACCATCACCTTGGTACATCCATTGCTCCAAGGCCTGGTTGATAAATATTTATTTTTTCCGGAAATTTGTTTTAGTCCCATGGAGGGTTTGGGTAGTATGTATTATTGTGGAGCACATGTCCGGCCCCAAAGGGAAAGATTTTGAGTTCTGCTTAGCGCTTGATCTCTTACTCTTGTTGGTCCGATCTTCCTAATACAGCTGCATTCAACAAACCCAACAGGAACATCAGAAATATACAAATCAGTTCATCCAGCAGTTCCATGTGGTGCTGCCCAAGCGGCCGCCTCCAGTCAGCGCTGGCTGCGTGTGCGCGTGTGCTCTTGAGCAAATGCGAGAAGTTACGGCGTCATGGTGAGCTGAGTTGGTTTCCGTCGCCGGAGACCGAACTTCTGCAGCTTGTAAACACGGGTGTCTTTCCAATTGTGAAGCATGTCGAGCAGTATGAAAAGTGAGACACGGCCGGAGACAAAACCATCCTTTAGGATCTTTCAGGTCCTTTTGCACTTTCAATAGATTTGGTCAAAGCAACCCACATGTGTTGCTGACAACCAGCACCATCGAATATACAACATCCAGAAGGACACCATCCGGTGGTCCAGTTTAGAGGTCGGACCACCTGGACGGACTGGTGGACAGAGTAGTGGTAGTAGGACTGGTGGAGGCAAAAATCAAATCGCAGTTTCGGGTGGTCGTGGGGCTGCTTTTTGTTCTTTGAAAGGCAAAAACGCAGTTTCGCAGCCCAAAGCTGTGTTTTCGCCTTTCAAAGAACAAAAACAGCCCCACGACCACCCGAAAGTGTGATTTTGCTTTTCTCTGCTCGACGGTTGCTCGGTGGTACTGGTAGTGGTGGTAGTAGTAGCAGTAGCAGTAGCAGTAGCAGTAGCAGTAGCAGTAGCAGTAGCAGTAGGAGTAGTAGTAGTAGTAGTAGTAGTAGTGGTAGTGGTAGTGGTAGTGGTAGTGGTAGTGGTAGTGGTAGTGGTAGTAGTCTTAGTAGTGGTACTAATTAGTTGTCATTGCAGCTATTCTTACTTTGTGCTATCCAATGCCCTTAAATCGTCCTAACCCACCTCGTGCCTGACCTCGTAATTCGTGCCTGTTCACCTCGTTACCTCGGCTGGGGTCGCTCTAATTTGCGCAGAAAAAGGATGCTCTTTGTCTACATGATCTGTTCCCAAAGAGTCCATGGGTCGTGGATCGTAGGCCGGTCGTATATGTCTGGACTCCATACTTCAACTCCCAGCCCTTTGAAGCGCCGACCAAAACACCGAAAAACGCTTTGCCCATCTGAACCCAAACCTTCCAACTCTCCCCAAACCTTCCAACCCGACCCCCTTCCCCACTCAAAAGTGGATGTCATATGGGCTCCACCGGCCGGCTGTGCTGCCCGGGCTGGATGGACGCAAAGCCTCAACACCTGGGGGCAGCTCCAGGGCAGCTCAACAGTGATTTGAAGGTGAACGAACGTACCCCAACGGTTGCTGATGTGACTATTGGAGGGTTTGGACCTGCACTTGGTGCAACAAAGCACACCCCCTTCAGTTGAACCTTTGACGTATTCCAGCGTGTGATTTTCAGCGGTGAGGCAGTTCATGCGCTGCAACTTGGCACAGTTGGACGCGGGAGGAGTGCGGTGGAATAGGGCGGAAACTTGCGGATCTGGAAACGATAAGATTTGCAGCAAGTTGGACGCCTCACAAACACATCAGCTGGTGAAGCTCTTTTCTTGAAGCCCAATCCTCGGCAGAAACCTGAGAACAACATTTATCCCAGCATGTTTGTGGTCCGAATCTATCTCTTTGGGTGTCCATCACAGCAAATCCCACATTGGCAGGCGGTTGTTTTCTGTGAAGATGCAGCATATGGCATATAGGAGAAGTCTTACGTCTAAAGTCTTAAAGCATGGCAAGATGAATATTACATAGGCATAAAGTGTGGTTTGAATACTGCATCATCCAATTCTTTGTTGATTCAAATGATCATCAAGATACATAAAGCAATATTATTTTTATGCGGATCCTCATGGACATGGATCCTCATGATGTTACAGTTTGAAGGTGTCTCAAGCCAAACATGTGAACCACGAGGCATCGCTCCAAGAACCGTGTTCTTGCATAAGGATCCTCACCCAAAAAAGGTTCAAAGGAAAATAGAGAAAACAAACATGTTCAACATTGTTCAACCATTTTCAACCTTTGTTTGAATTCACTTGTCCACTTTATTGTCCTTTTTCACACCAACTACTGCCCATCAGCCACGCGGTGCTGGCCATCGCGAGCCACGCGCGGATCGCTCCGGATCTTCGCCCCGGATCGCTGGGGATCGCTGCCCGGGCATAGCGAAAGCGGCTGGCATCCTTAAAGCCGGCCTGTAAGGGTGGGTGACGGTGAGGAAGTCATGGAGAAGGAAGGAAGTCATGGACAGTGAGCGGTTCTCCTGTCAAAAGAAACAAAGTACATGAACAAAGCATACGGCATACGTACTCTCCCCATTCTCCCCCCAAAAGTGCTGAGTAGTTTAAGTGATGATGCCTGTTGGCTGGTGCCACTAAGATCACCTCACAGCTTTGACTCATTATATGTTCATGTGACATCATGTGACCACTTTCCACCAGTTTCCAAACAAGGATCAACTGGAGGTCTTTCCCCCCAATGTTCACCAGTCTCGACTCGTCTCAACATGTCTCCGGCTCGCGGGCCGATTCGCAGGCCTCAGAGGAGAGCGTCTGGGCCATGAGCTGCGGTGGCACCTTCAGCTGTCGCAGGTACACGGCCTTGCACGGACGTCGGTGCCTGGCTCGCCTGAGCCGGCGACAAACCAAGCGCCGATGCGTCGAACATGGAGCCATGGAGCTTCGCCTGTGTCATACCTAGCAGTGGTGCGGACTTCTGCAGACTTGGTATTCTGGAGAAGGTGGTTTGACAAGCCATCTCGGAGACCATCTTCACGGAACTTTCCCCCGCCCAACCGGAACGAACTGCCTTGCACCGCTGGCACTGCATTCCCTTAAGCTTCACATCCATTCCCGCCGCGCGTGCACGCGCGTTTTCCATCCCACGAACTGGCATGGCCTCAGCCAGCTCTTCGGACAAAGGCTCCTCTACAGCTGCAATGCCCAAGCCGAGGAAGCATGTAGAGCTACGGAGGGCAAACCAACCTGCGAATGCCAGGGCTCGAAAGAATACATGGAGACCTTCTTCTACGGTCTGCTAGCTAGGTCTTTAAACGAGTGCAAGTTGTTCCATTCCAATTTTACATTCAAGATCTTTGATAATCTTTGAAGATATTAAGCTGCATTTAGTCATCCGAGAAGAACATGTTCAAAACAGGGATGGGTGAAACATGCTGGGCAGTGAGGAGCGAGATCAGGATTGGATGATGACACACAGAAAATCAAGGGGTGGGAAGGAGGCAGCTGGAATCAGGGTGGTCGTGATGTGGAACCTGTACCCTGGAAGCCTCAACAAAAGTAAAATCACAAGGGCGACCAACTTCTCCTCAAGTCAGCCATACTTCTCAAATGCCTCAGTAAGGTTAAAAGTGTAGGGCCAAATACCCGTATACCATCATCTCCAGCAAACCACTACTCACTACTCCACCTCCAGAACAAGAGTTCACCATCCGGATAAGCCAATGGCCAACCGTGCCACGTCCTTCGTTTCACGTCCATCATCGCTCGGAGAAGCGCCGCGCTCTTCGTTCCGAGAAGCGCAGCTGGGGCGTGTCCAGAAAGCATCGAAGATCCGACGGCTTGGTCCTGAGAAGGAAGGTCGGGTCGGTGGTCTCCACCCGCGGCGACCGTGGACCCCAACGACCGAACACTTTTGGCGCACGGAACTCGGGTCGGGTGGAATCTCTAGAAACCGTTTGGTGAGTCTCAGGAGTTCGGCGATTCTGCGCGGCGCGTCTTGGGGTGGATTCTTACAACTCAGATGCACATGTCGGGTTCGACCCGTGGATGTTTCAAGAACCCTTTGAGCGCAGCAGCCGTTCTGGAAGTGCTCCCAAGTGATGGCCAGGAACTGGAAATGGGGGATGGGAGATTCTTTTCTTGAGTCCATCATCGATTTGTTTTTGGATGTTTTTGGTGTTGTATGTCTGGAGGTAGCAGGAATTTCCCCCTGATCCAACTTGATCCTATCTCTGGGGGTTCATCTCAAGACTCAAAGCCAATCAATATTGTCCGACATCGATCTAGCCTTGTGGTGTTCTTCCTTTCTCACTTCCCTAACCAGTACCTTTCGTCCTCGTCCTCTTCACTGCTCTTCACCCACCCGATCCGATCGAAGTGGTATCGTGGGTCGTGGGTCGTATGGAGTATCCACGGTCAGTGCCCACGGTCCATCCCACGCTGTGCCACCACAGCGGCTTGTAGTGGCTGCAGCGGAGCAGACCAAAGAGTTCCTGCAAGTCACTCTCATGAGCCTCCGCCAAGACGGCGCGAGATGCCGCGGCAGAAGCGGCGGAGACAAAGAAGCGGAGACGACTTGCTGGGGGGGCTATGCCTCGGATTCAAACACAAAGGAATGAACAGCAGTGATTCTGTTCTCCCGACCCGAAAAAGAATAGTCTCAAGTCTCAAGCCTTCCATTTCCAACTGTACAAACTGATCACAGGAACTAGAGAGATGCTTTCTCAAAGTGCCAAACCTAGACTTGTAGATCAAACAACTTTTGGGAGTTTGCTTCGCGTTGCACTCTGTTTTCAACCCAAATGCCCCGGCGACCCAACCCCTACCTGAGAGCTCAAGTCCTTTCGGTTGAGCTCCTCAAAACGGAGCGAGGCCGCGCCCTCGACGCCTGGCATCGCAAAGAGCATGTCCAAGGAAAAGAGTGTACAAGTGTTGTTGGATGTGTTACCACGACCTCTGCCATTGGTCATCACTGTCATATAGGAAAGCATGCACAATGAAATGATAACGCATTTGTTTGCAATACTTGAGATTAGTGCTCCGGGAACCGGAAAAAAGAAGGGAACATCAAGAATTGACAGCTTTCTTAAGAAGCGCAGGACTTTGTTTCATGGCGCACCTTTCTCTCACTCCTTTTCACAGTTCAATGTGCCATGCTGTTGCAAGGGTCGAGCAACATAAAACGTAGATGTCGAGCAACATAAAACATAGATGACCTCTGACCCAGCTGATGTCCTGCGGATCTTGAAAACACCCTTGGGGCTGCCAAAGCATTTTCAAGAAGGCAGGTCCTCATGTCACATGTACTTATTTAGTTTCCGCTAAAGAAAGACCCTGTGCGTCCTTGAACCTCTTCTGCGGCTGCTGGTTTGGCCTCAGCATTTTTGCCAAGTCCAACGAACATATTGTGATTTGTACGCAGCCGTTGCATTCCATGCATTGAACCAATGATCCACCCCTAACCTGCTGCCCTTGGGTCACCAGCAGCACTGGACTTAGCTTTGAAGCTGAACATCTCGGGAAGTCATACCTTGCATGGCTCTCCGGGTTCTTACTTCTTCCTCCCACATGCTGGAAACCACATGGATGGTCGGAGCCTCAGAGCCGCCGGAGCCCAGTCAAGGAACCGCGTGTCGTGCCCCCAAAAGAACCACTCTCAAAGACAGGGAAGTCTTCACTAACATGAAATGTGGAAAATGATGGAACATACATGGATGAACATGGCGGCCTCTTGGAAGACGACCTGCCTGGTTTCTACAGGGGGAAACATTCCTCTTCCAAGTCACCAGTCAGACCTCTGGCGGCTTCATCGTAGTTACCCTCAAAACCCAACTTCTTTAGGGCAAAAGCCTTGTGCTTTGGACATGTTTAGAAGGAGACACTACTCTACGGGGCACATGTTGACCTTTCAATCCTTGTTCAGGATCATCGAATCCTCTAGCTTCCGCACCTAGGTGCCGCTCTGAAAAAGAAAGAGAACGCAATTTCTGGCTTTTACACGCTCGAAAAGCGCAGCCTCCCTTCAGGAGCAGCGCAGCCTCCCTTCACATAATGACATGATCACATCACACCCGAAGATTCGAGTGGCGTTGGGGGGGAGTCCGGTCGGACTGCCCCTTGTTCGCATTTTCGTGGTTGCCTGGTTAGGGACGTCGGTGATTGGGCATCAACTTGATCAACTTGATCACTGATATTGATGCGACTCGACCAAACTGGTTTCCAGTTTCCAGTTGATCTACACTGAGTTCTGACAAATGATATTAACTATATGCGGGGTTTTCGCTTTTTCAGGCCATGGCCACAATGTCAACAGCCGAACATATCAAAATCAACTGCAGTGACACGGTCATCGCATGATATCGTTGTTGAGGAGGCCCTATCACTTTCGCAGGTTTTTGACCAATTCCTGAAATTCCCGTAATAAATTGGTCACCGCACATTTAGAAGATTGCTCATACATATATGTTCCACCTTCTGTTCGACCTACCAGAAGTCCTTCCTCTCTCATCTGACATCTTCAGCCTCCTGAAATCCCTTGATCTGACTTAAACCCAGAACTTCATGAGCTCCTTCCCAGGCACCTAACCCTTGCCTTACTGGCCCATGGTCAGGCTCAAAGTACGTAGTTGCTCGTGGTGCAGATCTAAGGCCTCTCCAGTTTATTTTGGGAAGAGTCCATCACGCTCTGCTGTGTGCGATTGTGCTGGGAGGAGACGAAAAACAACTCTGGCTCAAACACGGATTTTGTATAGGTTTGCTGGACCGTGTTTCTTGTTAGCCCCAAAACAAAAGAACATGACATTCCACAACAAATAAACACACTAATAATTCTCATAAAGTCTGCAAGTGCATGAACATACTTATGAACATTTATTTTACACATGGGTCAAACTAATGGCACCTGATCATAACGTGTGTCTGATGAACATTTCGAGTACCGAGTCTTTTGCCCTGTTGTCATCCGTCATCCAAAATAAAACACTCCAAAATCAGGGGCCGCACTACACGCCTTGGGCGTGCACCCCAAACAAAAGCACGGCGTTCCCCGCGTGTTGTGAAAGCCCCGTCTTCGCCGTGGAGGAAGCGGCGAAGTGAGGCCCAATCAAAAAACCGCGACCCCCTGCAGGCCCTGGAGTCAGAGAGCTGGCAGCTGGCGGGCGCCGAACAAAATACAAAAAACGCAGATCGTCTGGGATCTGGTCACCGCTGGTCACCGCTGGTCACCACTGGTGTCATCGATCGATGAGAGCGAAGAGCACACCCACGATTTGAGGGCCCAACCTGGCGAGGTGATGGGAGGGAAGGTTGAGAATCCTTCCGAAACACGACTTTTTGGAACACGTGCCAACAAATTCTTTCAACGCAGGCAAACGGTGATGGCAAGGCAATCATGTGTGGTGATGTTTGGGGGGGACAACCTGGCCAGTTAATTCAGCAGTCTTTCAGACCAGGATCAGACCCGGCTCAGACGGTGTTCTTTGGGCCGGCTGGCCTCGGCTTCTGTGTTGTCCATCCACCAGATCCAAACAAGACGTTAGGTAGAGGGGTTCCGTTTTGGGAGCGCTACACTAATCGTTTCAATCTGAAGGCTGTAAAGTGTATGGTTGCTGGCCCAAATCTACACTCGCACCTGGGCCAAAGAGGCCAAGACCAACTACAGCAACTGAATCCCAGGTCGCACCCGGCCCAACGGAACAAACACAGAACGAGCCCGCACCAACTAATTCCCAGTTTCACCCGGCCCAGACGGCGCAGACATAAAACGCTCCACAGCAAGTAAATCCCAGGTCGCACCCGGCCCAACGGGACAAACACAGAACCAATTCTCAGTTTCACCCAGCCCAGACGGCGCAGACATAAAACGCTCCACAGCAGCTAAATCCCAGGTCGCACCCGGCCCAACGGGACAAACGCAGAGCCAGCCGCAGCAACTAATTCCCAGTTCGCACCCGGCGCAGACGGCGCAGACATAAAACGCGCCGCAGCAACTAAATCCCAGATCGCACCCGGCCCAACGGGACAAACACAGAGCCAACAGCAGCAACTAATTCCCACTTTGCACCCGGCCCAGACGGCACAAACATAAAAAGGGCCACAGCAACTAAATCCCAGGTCGCACCAGGCCCAACGGGACAAACGCAGAACCAACCGCAGCAACTAACTCCCAGTTCGCGCCCGGTCCTGGCCAGGCGCATTCGTGAGCCCGGATGTGTGCAAGTCACATGTCCCAGGGACTTTAGTAGGGAGCATTTGACTTCAACATCAATGGTGAACCTGAGCATCCAATCCAAGGGCCAGTTCCGCAACCTGCCGCTTCCAATGTTAATGTAGCGTTGCCAAGCGATTCCCCCAGCCAGCAACAAAAATATCGGAGGAGCCAGCATCTGCTCCTTCTTACCCCGCAGTCTTCCAAGCAAGTCCTTGGGGGGCTTCCGTTTTGGGAGCGCTATGCCCTTTGAGGTCCGGTCCTGGAGTGGATTTCTCTCAGGGCTGGTTGACCAACTTGAAAACACACACCCCAACGGGTGCACCAACAAATTCCCAGTTTGCACCTAGCCTAATAGAAACCATGCTTTGAGCCAGGTCTGACCTTGGTCTGAGCCTGGTCTGAAAGAGGTGTTGGGTTTACTTGGCGGGTTGCCCCTCATGCCCTCATTCCCCTGTTCTTCGAATTATACGCCCTATACCGGCCGTTCTTAGGGTGACCACCATGTATCAATGGAAGGTACAGGATTAATATATATTATATATATATATATTTTTTTTTGATACTGATACTGTAATAAAAATATGGCAGCGGAAACGATAAACGAATCGAAACGAACCGAAAAAACATGAAACGGTAAACGAACCGAACCGAATCGAAAAATTTTAAAAAATAAAACAAAACGAAACGAAACGAACCTCCCCAAAAAATAAAACGAAACGAAACGAAACGAACAAAAAAGAAAACGAACACGAAACGAAACGTGCCTAAAACATTTAAATACGAAACTAAACGAAACTAAACGAAACGTAGGTTTCCTGTATATATATATATACATTGATCCTTTGTATGGCGCTGGAATCACATCCTCATCGGCGAGTCATCCGCTTTGACCCGACCGTGATCCCTTTGTGGCTGACCGACCCCGCTGAATTCGCCACCCCGACCGACCCAAAGGACCCCGACGTGGGCAGCCCGCGCGGCGCCCGGGGTGGTTTTGGGGGAGGTTCCATGTAGTCCGAATAGCTGGGAAGTACAGCTTCGTGCTAGCTTTATTTTCAGGGGTGTAGGACTGTAGTTACACTGTGGTCCTGTGCATGTGGAGCATTAGTCCACTGCAAAAAAAAGAGTCCCTCAAGAAGAAGAGTGGTGAATAGAACTTGCAGGGCATGTCTTTCAACGATCCACTGCTTTGGTGAAGATTGTGCAAGCTCTCTTGCTTAATTGTGTATTCACCTCAACATTCATGGAATACATTCATCCCTTTTTCCGCCGTTGGATCTACAATCTCTTGAGCTCGCATCATCCCTGGGAACCCACACCTGCGAAGAACCTTCTGCACGAAGACCTGAAAATAGCGGAGCGTCAAGCCTGGCAACGGGTCAAGGCTCCGTGAACGACGAGCCCAGCAGTTACTTCGAAATTGTGGCGGTCCGGACCTTCCATTGTTCTGCGATGTTCTGCGTCACGTGGTCCACAAATAGATAGTGGCACGGTGTCCAATACAATACATTCTTGGTGGGGATCTACTTTGGACCCTCTTGGAGATCTACTTTTCAACCTTTGTGGAGAATCAGTTCCCTGACATTCCCCGAAACCCATGGAGTTCCGACGCCAGTCCAGCAGGTCGGCCCAAAGATTCGAGGGTCCCTCCCCTACGCTCTTTCTGGCACTGGATTCGCCATAGAATCCAGTGCCATGGAGCGTTCGGGACCCTCTTACGATATGCCTATAGGCCTATAGGCCCTACATTGACCCTTTTCAATCAACCACCCCCATGTTTGTAAATATTCCAGTTTCATGGGTCACGTCTGGGGGTGATTTTTGGGATGGCAAGGGAAGCAAACGTCACGGCGCCTCTCGGACCTTCACTCCCGTTCCGATCCATCCAGTGACCCGTTGCGACCAGTTCCACGCTGAAACGGATGAAACCTGATATCAGTCAAGTTTCGCTGCCCGAAAAGAAGTTGGGAAATGGCTCTTATGTCTTGATAGCCCCTGGCGAAACAAATGATACATGACCCCGGTGAGTCTGGCGTCATGTCGCATTCGATGTGAATCTGTCAGGCTCGCCGAAGGGAGCCGGGGAACAAAGCATGACGTGACATGACGCAAAGATCCTCAAACATCGTGAGAGTGCTTGAAATGATGGACTTCATTTCACGTCATGTCATTTCAATGACTGTCTCAAAATCAATGGACTTCATTTCAAGAACGTGCGAGTTCTCAAAACCAATGGACTTCGTTTTCACGTCTGGAAAGACATGCTGCTTGACATCGCTGTATCTCGTCGTGGTTCGCAGCTTGGGGCTGCTTGGGGAACTTGTCTTGTTGTCGCTCCCTGTCTTTCCATTTCAACCCCAACCAGCGTATCAAAAAAAGGCAAACATATGGGGAGAAAGGGAAAGACAGGGAACACCATGGTTCCCCATACAGGGAACACCATAATATATATACCAAAAAGATTGGAACATGGAAATATGGGATGGAACACCATGGACCCCCCAAAACCGTCGCCGGGTCGCCCTCCCTCGTCCCACATCCGAAACGGGTCGGTCGTGTTTCGTAGCCCAGATTCTTCACGGACGTGGTCGACCGGTGACCGCCCCGTGGCAAACTGACCGGTGACCGGCCGTTTTCGTTCCCGTTCGTAGACTTTCAGGTGATCCAAAATCATCCAAAAACAACTGACTCAAATCCAAAATCCAAAACCATCGCCCAACAGTGTTTTTTCAGTCTAGTCTATACTACCGGACTGGTCAGACCTTTTGAGGTTCATCCGAATGGGCGGTCACCAGTGACCCGCTTCCGTGCAGGTCGACCTGTCAGGTCCTAACTCTCGCCTTTCGCCCCATGGAGGCCCATGTCGCTCTGCAGCTGCTGGGTGTCGTCGTAGTAGAACTCGAGGAGTCCTCGGGTCGAAGCGAAGCGGGAGGGGATGAAGCGGGAGGGGTGTCAACCACCA